ACCAGCTGCACGAATAAAAAAATAACTAAAAATAAAATATTTCTAAAAGGTAAAAACAATCATTTTTATATTATTATATTTTGAATTATTAAAATACTTAGTTTATTCAAAATAAAGTCATTAATTTGAGGCAATAAACATCTTATATTATACTGAGTATAATTAAAGTAAAACAATTAATTCAAGTTATAGCCATAACTTTTAAAAAGCTTTCAACTGTTCTTGTGTCATCGTTGTATTGTTCACACAGTCTTTTTAATTTTTTCATTTACATCATTTTTTTTCACTACATTGTTCGCCACACTCATATCTTGCTAACTGCGCGTTATCCCCAGCAACTTCTTGTTGAATTTTATCAACTATTACCCAAGGTGTATTCGGTACTCACTTAAGAATTTAACTTCAACATCTTCAATCTACTAAATAAAATTACTCTGTACCTACTAATAATTTATCTGTCAAGGGTAAAATGCAAAGAATGCGGATGGTACTTCCTAATTTCTTTTAGCCTCGATCGCACTATATCAACATACTATTATTGTGGCCGTCAACTGTCTGTCCTTTTTAGTGTTTGAGTACTATGTTTAAAATAATTCTATTAATGCTTCGACATTTTCGTGGCTTACCATATGCTGTACATTTTATTTATTATATTATTAGAGTATAGAATATTTTTTGATAAATTTAGATTTATCCAACTTCTGTTGAACATAAGCAAGTAACTATACACCTATATAAAAAAAAAAAATGCTATGATATTATATTATTTTCACTGCAACTTTATTATTGTTGTGTTTAAATATATTACCGTCTAACCAGTGTTCGTGTAATTCTTGCTTGGCGGTATTTTGATTTTTCAAAGTACAGTGTGTCCGTGTAACCTATCTACGGGTGTCTGGATGTTTAATAAGTTGAAATTATTAATACAGCATATTTCTCCGTGTGTAACAACAACTGTTACCAAAATAAGATTTATAATCGCTTGAATCGTCCATGAGCAAAATATCATATTGTACATAGCATGTACATTTTTTAGTTTATTAGAGGTAAATTAATTTTTTATATTATTACTGTTTTATGGCGTAGTCTTTGGAAATGCCAACGGGGGCATCGAGTTTCGTTTGGCGACGCTCTAAACATAGTGAAAGCCAATCCGTGTCGAATCCTCTTGGACCGCCATCACTGCATTTTTCTGTTTTAATTGGTAATAAACATCGTCTGGGGAGACAGCCTCCTTTCTTCCTTCTCCTTCAAGCGAATGGACCACTAAGTAGTGTCAAAAAAATATCTTATGGATAAGCTGTTTAAAAACACTACTACTTACTGCTTTTTTTATAATTGAGTACGTTTACTCCCACTGAGCCTATCTTCAGATAAGAACGCAAAGTCATTGGCATTGTTTAACATGTTTACTAAAAAACATAGTATACATATTTAAATTATAGTATACAGGTCGGAAAATTTAACCAACAATCTGGATTAATATTATACAATTAATAATTGAACTTTCAAAATTTTTATATTTGTCGTCTTTTAATAAATGTTTTTTTTTTATGCGGCCGTAAAGTAGTTGAAATCATGGCGTGTGTAAAATAATGACAAGGTGTATATATGACGGTACCCTTTAATGCTTTCCGTTCCATTTAACTTACAGCATTCCTATCGGTAAGGTGTGTTGACCGTTACTAAATGATAGAAGACACTCTACAGAAAAGCACACGTATTGCTTTATGGTCAGTTTGAAGTGGAGATAAAATGAACACTGCGATAATTCAGAAATCAAAACAGCGTTTTGCACGTGATCAAGTGTATGTTTCTATGTTAAATTACAAATTAATTTCCCAAAAATAGACTTGGTCTGGTATAAAAATAGGTTGAGCTGTATTTAGGATATAATTAAAAAAGTGAAAATTGAATGAATAAATTCATTACCGAATGTTGATTTTTAATTACTGATAATATTCTTAATAAATAATTATAATTTATAGTTTAGAGATTAACTGTTATAGTATTTAATTATTTTTAAAGCGCTAGGCGTTATCTTTTTGTCGATCGGCGTATTTAGTTTTGATATTAATACATTCACTGTAGGCGGTTATGATACAACCATTTACATTGTACAAAATCCATAATTATTCCTTTTATTTTAGCAATATATTACTCTGACTGTGTCAATTTCACGATTGTATCTCGTTCCACAGATGTTATGGAAGTATAATTAGTATATAGTTTTCAAATTATTAAAAAACTTTATTTAGGTATACGTTTCATAGAGTAATGTGCAGCGTGTAGATCTTATATCCTCAAACTCTTATGAACATTGAGTCAGCAGTATATTATTCTTAGATGAAGATATGTAAAAAGTAATACTAAGTTTTTAATTGTACTCTTTAAGAGAACACTGTACGCTTTAAATACTGTAAACAAAATATCCTACACTAATGGATTTAGAAGGACGTTGGACATCAGCAACGTGTTTATATTAACAAAACGAATTAGTTGATAAACTTTGATTACATGTTTTTCCTTGTGTGAATATTATATTTTTATACTTAAAACGTTTTGAAAACTATTGCACGATTTATTTTTGTTCTTTGTTTATCAGTTAAAAAAACTATTTAAAAAATTATAAATTATACTAATTCACCTTTAATCAAATCTCATAACATAAATGTATTCATTAGATTATGTTGTAATTTCAATCTACGTCCAAGCTATAGTGAGAAATAAAGACTGCTGTTGGTTTTTTTACTGATACTTAATATAAATTTATTAAAAGTATTTATATTGATAATTTATAGAAATTTAACTATAAAAATTTATTTATTTGTGGAATGATATTTATAAAGCTATATGGTTAACAATGACTACACTATATTCAAAAAAACATTATTTAAAAACAGCATATGGTGTCCTGTACAAAGTGTATAGTAAGTAAGGAAACAGGTCAATTGTTTTCGTCATTTGTATCAATTGACCTGTTTCCTTACTTAATGAACATTCTATATGACGATTTTTCTTTTGTTTCGATGTAACATAAAAGCATTGTCTTTTCGGCTGATTTTTTACCAACATTATAAATATTGGTAATGTTTTAGTAGAAAAAATACATTACATATGTAATATTAAATTCCATCTGAATTAGTTTTTCGTATTGAGTTTATTTTGTTACAAATAAATGACACAAAACTAACTAGGTATTATTTTATTAGGTAAAGAACGTTGATTATTTTTTGAATCGTGTTTGATGTTAAATAATAATTTTTTACTCATTTTTATTATTGTTGACGTTTTAATGATGAGGGGTCTCTTCAACGCTTCCTGACCTTAGAGAGACAGGTAAATAGGCACTACAATAGCAATAATAACATAAATGATGACTTGATGGCGATGTGGAGGGTCTTCTTGTTAATTACTAACCATCAAATTTAGTCATTAACATCAACAGTGGCTAGGCATCATCACGTTAGTGACGAGAGATAATCATTATTTAGAACACGTTACTATTCCAACCTAACACCTAAGTTTAGTAATTACCTGATATTGAATTGTTTTTACTTAAGAAAACCATAAAATGTTTTGCAAATTACTTTTAATGATTTGTCATCAAATAATTGTAATCATTCCCGTTCACATGTTAGTTTCCACTTGTACATTTACAACTAATATGTTGAGATATTTAAAGTTTTATAACTTATTTTTATACAATTAAAAACATATCCCACATCTTAAACCAATGACAAATGTTTATTTTAAAAATTATGCTTTATATGCGTTACTAATTTATAAATTTAAATTTAAAAAAATTAATTTATAGTCTATAAAAATTAAATCTCTGTTGCCTTGAGCATTAACATTTGTTTTGATTAGAACTATTTTTTTTTTAAATCTTAACATTTTTGAGGGTCAAATAATTAGAATTTATCTGTCCAAATTTTATGGGAACGATAGACTGTATATAAATCACGGCGGTGTTAGGGAAAACTGTCAATAATTTGAAAAAAAAATACATGTTTATATTATACATGTTTCAAAAGAACTATACGTTTGTTTTGGTGAAACAATATGTGTTACATCGACTATATCATAATATAGTCGTTCTATGATACAAATAGTTTCACTAATAAAACGTAATGAGATAATTGAGAAAAATTACAATAAAAAAAGTTGTTCTAATCGTAGTCTAAGAATGTGAGAATTATTAATAAAATAAATATTTGATCGAAAATTATAAGAAATGTCAGTTATATTCCAGAAATTCTATTTAAAGATATATTAACAGAGTTATCAGTTTATTATAAACCACTTGATTGCTTCCAAAATAAATACAGAAATGGCAATTTTTTTTTTTTGTTACGTATATTTCTTGATATATCAGCTATAAATTACTTTTTAAAATAACCCCTTATAAGTTATAAGGGTTTATTTTTTAACAAATATATAGTAACAAAAAATGGTTTCCCATTACTGTATTTATTTTGAAAGTAATCAAGTGACAAAATAACGAACTTTCATATCTAAAAAATATAGAAAAATTACTGGAAAGTTACAAAGAGGACGCCCAAAGAAAAAGTATTTTGAACATATCCTGTAAATCATGAATTTTTGTTTCACTGAAAAATTTGGTGTCAAACAGAGAAGAGTTGTTTCAACGACAAGGCATTGTTATTAATAAAGGATAATGATATAAAATAAGTCATTTTTATAGAAGTAATAAGACATTTTTTATGTATTTGCTAATATTAAGGTATTTATGTTCTAAATTTTAATATATAATTAACAATGGGTAAAATAAAACTACTGATTTAATTATATTATGTTCTTGCTTTGATTTACTTCTAAACACAAGCTGCTGTTCTATTTAAATAATTACTTTGCCGAAAAAACTTACAATATAAATTTTTTCTAATCATTATGTTTTATTTGCTAATAATAATTATTCGATAAAAATGTAAAATAGAATAGGTATTATAATTTTTAATTTATATAAAACAATTCAATTTTAAACTTTTCTAGGGAAAAAAGTTTTATTTAATGTTAATGAACCATTAATGAAAAATTTGATAAAATAAAAATCTAAAGGATATAATTGTTTTTTCAAGTTAATAATATAATTGTTAAATACAATATAAACTTCAAAAATACTCTTTGCTAGATTAGTTATTTCAGGTATACTTTGGTTATCCAAATGACTGTTCCAAAATGTAAAATAATCACTGCTTATAGCTCCTATTGTTACTAAATCAATAATGATTGCTTCTGAAGATCTGGGATTTTGAAGTTCATCCATGCCTAAATTGTTTTTAAAATCCGAAATTATGTTCTGTTTAACATCTATAATTTTTAATTCTTGAATAATGATGCTTTTTAACTCTTCACTCATTGATTCTAATTTTCGTTCTACGGATTCATCAAATACTAATTTTTTCTTATAAGTCAACATTTGGTTATATATTAACCGTAATGTTTGATTATTACTTTGAAGAAAAATTATTGACGATAATACTTCACAAGCTAAGTTTGAAAATATAGAGCTTATTAATATATTGACATGTCCATAATTTTTATTTTTAATTAGAATTTTTTTTAGTAACTTAAACTGCAACCATATAACATAGTAAATATTTACTTTGATTACACGAACCAAATGGTTTTGATACTTTACTAAGTTGAATGGTTCATTTATCCATTGTATTAAATAATATTGAGATAGTTGTTTTAAATCACTTTTTTGACCCTGTAGAATTTTTGCGTACCCATTCCAGTAAAAATTACAATTACTAGAAAGTACAAACAAGTCACTAATTTTGTGAAATTTATCTCGTAAAATAAAATTGTCTATATTGAATATTTTAGAATTTTCTATATCTATTTCACTGAAATTTTCGTAATTATTAATGAAAGCATCTATGTCTGTTTTATTTATACCGTAAAGTATATTTGATTGATCTTCCTCCTCATTGGAATGCAAAGTAGGCAGGTAGTTATTTTCTTGACATAAGTTAAAATATTCAATCAACAATTTTTCGTATAATACAAAATCTTCATTACTTTTTAGGGAGAAATCACTAGGATTGTCATCAGCAGCAATTATCCGAATGAAAATTTTCCAAAACCAATTATGGGCATTGACTTTACCAGTATATAACAAGAAAATCATTCGAGACATAATACCTCTGAGGTTAGAATAATATTTGTCATTAAATTTTTGTTGCATATTGTATGATTTCACTCTTTTTATATCATGCAATAAACAATATACTACTAAACCGTTAACACATTGTAAAGCTTCTATTTTTTGTTTGTATTTGATTTCGGACAGCATTTTTTTTTCGATACATTTATTGTTTCCGTTACAATAATTTGTCAAGTAATTTAAATCCTCATCAGTAAATATTATTGGTCCTTTATCGCTATACATTTCAAATGTTTTATAGTCATTCATCACTGTCTTTATAAATTCTTCACTATATACTACTTCAACATAATTTACCTATAAAAACATATTTGTAGTTATTTTCTAATTTTTATTAAAATAAAGTAGTAAAGCGATTAAAACGTTTTCCTCGATATTAATCTTATTTGTTTTAATTGTGAATTTTTATTTTATTATAAGAACATTTTTAGTATATAATTTGAAAATAAGTTAGACGATGCTTAAACTGGACGGATATAACATTAATGTGTATTTATAAGAGTAATAAATTCGAGAAAAATATGTTTCATGTTAGTATAGCGTTATTAGCTTTGATTCGTAACTGAGAAATTATTGGTTTTACAAAAAGTTTTTTTTCTGTGATATTATACAAGATTATTCTGCTCTTATTAAATCGTTTTTGCAAAACGATACGTCAAAAAATCACAAAACGTACCTAGTTGAAGCTATAATTTTCAAAAGTTCACCTCTATCTCCGTTAAAAAGAAATATGTTTTATTTTCTCTTTATAGTGAAATGAATTTTTGAACATTGCATGGATTATTATAACATATTTGTTTATAATATCTACTTCATACATATGTCTTGATGACAAACTATATTTTTAAAAATACGATCATTAAAACAAGGTATTGAGTGCAGGGACAGAGACCAAACCGAATAGGGCCGATTGAAAAAACAAAATACTTTGCATATGTATAAATCCTACCTTGACCTAAACCTTAATTTTAAATTTTTAAAAAACCAAACCGTAACTATAACCCAACTAAATTGACTTATAAAAATAGATTTTTAAGATTTTTTTAGGGACATTAGATGGAAGTGAATTTTAATAATTTTAAATAATAACTTTTAAATCTAAAGTAGAATTTTGTTCTGTGAAGTCGGAATCCAATAATGAGGTCAACGTCAAATATATTATAATTTTAATATATAGTATTATTATAGTGGCGACAAATCGTGTCTTATTGGACATTTCCATAACATTCCATAAAGTTATTATGTGCAATTATCTACGTGTCCCAACGGTAAAAATAGCTATGTGGGTATTTTAGCAAATGACAAACATATTTAAACATATTTATTACGTAGCAGCAGCTTTAAATAATTAGTCTAATACACATAGTACGAAACGTGTGTTTTTTGTCAATTTGAATTTTTACGTCATACATATAATATGTAATCTATGAATCAGCAATTTTATTTCATTTTATTTTAGTGTAGATGTGAATATGGACCTTTGTTCTCGGTCAGTCATTTACATTTATTTAATTAATAGTATTTATTTAAAGAACTATAAATTAATTAGAAAAAAAGTCAATTTCTCCCTCTGTATTATTAGTCGTGTCTGGAGCTAAATGATTATTTTAATGGGGCAAGTCGACTTATCTTTTATTAGAAAACATTTTTATTTATCTACCAATTTAACCCGATGACCACTAAAAATTTTTTAATTTTAATTTATATACATACAACGAAACGTACAAAATTTTCTCACTTTCTTTTTATCCAAAAATCCCCCTGGTACACCAATGATTTAAACTAAAGCCTAAATTTCAAATACTTTTTATTCGTGATTTCGTGATTTACTTGTATTTCATTACCTATTGTAATAAAAATAATTGTATTTGCCTATGTTAAAAACTTACACTGTAAAACAAAATTATCATATCGTTTTGCAAAAAAATATTACTGCGATTTATAACAAATATATATGTTCAAATTAATTATTTTCGAAAATTCTATCATTGTTTAGTTAATATATTTAAAAATATTTCTATAAAAAATTTGCCAACATACTGTAATATATTTTACCCAAGAAGATCATCTTGCCCCATTTGTTACGTTGCAATTTTTTATACTACTACAAATTATATATTATTATTTAAAAATTCTGTAGAATTAAAAATATTTTTTTTGAAATTATTTGTTTAATTAATTAATTAATTTAAATAAAAATTAGTTTTTTTCTTTTTGTATTAAAAAAAAATGTTTAATACTGTAGTTTTTTTTTTTTAATATTAATAAATGGCTATTGTTCATTTGTATTTGTTTTTATATAATTTAATATTGAGTTTTTTCTATTTAATTTAATTGTTTCTAATTTCGATTTAATTATTATATTTTTTCAATGTAAAATGCAAATATAGTTTTATTGCTGAATTATATATTTTTTTTATTTAATATTAAATCATTCAATTCGTTAAACAAAACGCCCAATCAATAATTAATGGCAATAACTTTTTTTTTGGAAATTTAAATTCGTGTAATTTTTATTTTTAACATTTTTTGTTAGTTCAACTGTTTATCTAATATATTTAATTAACTAAATTAGTCAATTTTGGCGAAAAAAAAATTTACTTGTATACTTTAATTTTTTTTAAAAATAATAGACTCACAATAAATCATAAAAGTTTTATTAAAAATAGTATTTTCTATAATTCAAGTCTTATGTATTTTTACGCTATTTCTTAAGTTTTATAAAAAAACTACTCTCATTAACCATTTTTAAACTCCCAAGGAGTAAAGGAACGGGTTGAGTTGTCATGACCAAATTTAACTTTCTAAAATTTACTTTATTAAAATTATAAAAAAATTATAACGATTTAAAATTTAGTGTTAGTTAGATTATAAATTGTTTAAAATATATCAAATCGTTTTATTACAGTGATTTCAATAAATATTAATCATAACAATATAAATTTTAATATTTATAATAGTCTATAAATATAAAGATTTATATTTATATTGTAATAATTAATATATTGGCTATGATTTAATTTTGATTAATGTATTTTATAACAAATGATTTATACAGAATATTTTATTTATTATTGTTCATTTTTTAATAAAAATTGTTTACCATGTTATTGGTGTTACTGATATTCTTAGCCTTGATAGATTCTATAAAACAGCTTGTCGTAAAAAACACGCCAAAGATTTTAAGTAACAACATCATTACAATTGAAATAGTCAAAAACTACAATCAATTGACTGATATAAATTTTTATAGCGATATTTAAGCCGTGAATTCTTAATCCAAGTTTTATTATATCAGATGGTTTTTTTAAATGGTTAAAAATAATTTACCATTTATTTAACAAGATATATAATATTAAAGAATTAAATGTTTATGAAACAGAAGTTCTAAAAAAAGAAAAATTTAAGGTTTTATATTTTTTCTTAGTTTGTATTGAATAAAACTATTATACTTACATTTTTGAAAAATAAAGTATAAAATTTATGAGTGGTGTTAATTTATTTGAGTGTTATTTTTAGGCTTATTCACTTATGATAAAATTTGATAATTTTGTTTTTTTTAGTTTAACATTTACACAAATATATATATATATATATTCTTTAACTTCGATGCAAAGCTGAGAAGGTATTTTTTTATGTCTGTCGCTCTTTTTTTCAGACTTGTACAACCTGATTTCTTCTAACGATATGTCAAAAGATCACAAATGATATAATTTATTAAAGAAATTACCCTAAAAATTAAAAAAAAATTCCTTCATGTCCTGTAAATGAGGAAATTCTCAAAAAGTATACGATTTTTAAAAGCGGTAAATTTTGACATTTTTTTTCCTTCAAAACTGTCATAACTTTTTTAAAAATGAACAAATTAAGATAAATTTTATATTAATACCTTGGGTATTTTCCTTTCTTTGGGTATATTTTTTTTTGATAACTGACCATTTATCTGCTCACAAGGAGGGGTTTAAAAACATCATGATCTGCTCAAAGGTTTAACTTTTTTTACTTAAATTTTGAAAAAAACTATAAATTACTATAAGTTAATAAAATAAAATTACTACCAATGATTTGTCCTCTATATGTAAACAGTTTCCGAATTTAGACAAAAAATATTATTTAGATGTAAAAATCATTGTTTATGAAGTTATTTTTACTTTAGTTTGTCATAACTTTTTTAAAAAAGAACATATTTTAATAACTTTTAGTTTCAATGCGAAGTTGAAAAGGTATTGGTTTTACTATGATGTTTTTTTTTGTGTCTGTTACCACTTTTTCTCAGCTCTCACTGGATTGATTTCTTTCAACGATACGTCAAAAAATCACAAATCGTATCTAGTTGAAGACGTTACCCTCAAAAATTGAAAAAATTTCCCTCGTTCCCCGTAATAGGGGGAAATCTCCAATAAATTACAAATTTAAAAATCGCTAATTTTAAAAAATTTCTCAATTTTTTTAATTAAAACTGCCATAATTTTTTCAAAAATAAACAAATCAATATATTTTATTATTTATAGATGCTTGATGTCTTTACCTATTATTTGGTATATTTTTTTTGTAAATCTGACACTTAACTTGCCCACTTTTATATATATCTTAAATTAAAGTTAATCAATGCACTTTATTATGGAAAATACAAATTTCGGACTTTATTTTGTCTTCACGGTGAAAATGGCTACCGTATGCTATTTTTGTGTTAAAATTCTCGATTTTATATTTTACATTTTTAACTTTATAATGCTATGACATATTGAAAAGTGTATGGATCAATACAATTTTTTCATGAGAAGTAGTATTTATATATATCTTTCATTGGACTTTTTCTTAATCAGGATATAAATTAGGAAATAACAGATAATGTAGCTTTTGGAATAAACCACCAATTTTTTAAAATTAAACACTATCTAAAGATTTGCATCGAAGCGTTTTTTATGATAGTGATTTTAATCACTGTCAGATATCATAATACTTGATTCAACTATGCTACATCACCACTGTGCTGCGACCCCCACTGCTGGGTTTTTTAAAATTAATACATTAGTATTTTTATATAGTCTTTTTAAAAATCTGTCCCTTTACCCGCCTACAGGTGAAGATATAAAATAATACCTTTGCGCAAAAATTTAACTTTTTCAACATAAATTTTGAAAAATTTCTGGGGTTTACTGAGTATTAAACATATGTTTATTTAAAGCTTTTGTTACATTAGTTAAAAAAAAAATATCCCGATACCTTCTTCTATGAGCAAATTACTGGCATAGTTAAAATACACAATACTTTTGTGTTAAAATTTTCGATATTTTATTTTTTTAGATTGCTATAATTTTTTAAAAAGATATGGATTAACTTAATTTTTTTTTTTTATGATTATTTTATATATGCTCTATTCATTAACATAGTTATATTTAAATCGAACCATTTTTCTCTATACAGGAAAATTCAAAATTTAATTTGAAACATACAAACTTTTTTTACAACATACGAATATAGAACATTTTCAATTAAATTTTTCAAAATGTTCAGAAACTTTAACCATATGTTAAATTAAACCTTATGTTACATATAATAAAAAAATTGTTACAACGACTTATTGTCTATATGTAAACGGTCTCTGTAGTTAGACAAATAATATTATTTTTGTATAAAATTAATATTTTTCGAGTTGTTATTTTTGCTTAAATTTGTCATAACTGATGTCTATTAATTTCAAAATTTATAAATTCATTAAAAATCATAGTAATCATTTCTATAAAACTTTTTTTATTTAAATATAGATGGCACAACTGAAATTTTCAGAACTATACTTCGTATTGTTAAATTCTATAAAATACTCAGCACAGTGAGGATGTAGCATAGTTGGGTCTAGTATAGGTGATATCTGACAGTGATTAAAATTATTACCATAAAAAACGCAAATCTATAGATAGTGTTTAATTTTAAAAATTAGTGGATTATTCTAAATATAACATAATCTCCTATTTCCTTATTTATATCTTGATTATAAATTGATATTTGACATATGACTTTATGATTTATAAGTGTAATATATGAATAAATATTTATTATAGCAGTTAAATATAGTATGAAATTGATATTTAATAATTTAATATTGTAATTTTTTATAAAAATGTTATTTTTTTATTACCTTTGATGTCTGTTTCACTATGAAAACAAAATAAAGTCAGAAATTTGTTTTTTTCATATTAAAGTATAATATATAAGTTTTAATTTAAAATATATATAAAAGTGTCAGTTTTTCCGGAACTCATTCAAAAATTTAGCTGAAAAAGTTCTACTTTCTATATGCTTATACCTTCTTTTTAAGTTTTGAACTCACCTGTATTAAGGGAAATGGTCCGATTTAAAAAAAAATCTTCTCAGCTTCGCATCGAAGCTAATATACTAATAGTCAGAAATACTCCGCGCCTAGTTTCACCTAAAATTTTGTTCGTTGATGTGTTGTGTGAATTTAATATTAACCTAGATTTTTTCAGTTATTTTTTTATATGTAAATATTTGTCTCTACTGTACTACAACCCCACTTTTCAGCGATCTTTTTTTATACTGAAAGTTATAAATTATTATAAAATATATTTTATAAGTTTTGATTTTCTTGGCTACGTCGCAGTTTGCGATAATAAACCTGTATTAGCTTTAACATTTAAAAAACGCATTATAAACTTAAGTTAATAGATATGCTTAATTTTTAAATTTATAGTTACGTCAATTATTAATATAATCAAAGTTATTGGTTTTATCAATTATTATATGGTGTTAGATCGAAGTGTGAAATAATTTTGCTTATTACCATTATTATTATTTATTTTGCCTATCTTCTTAAATTAAATTAAATTAATTTGATGGTTATAAATGTTTAAAATAAATTAAATTTATTAAGTGGAAGCAGTTACTTATCCATTCTTTTCATGTTTTTTCAATAAAATTATTTAAATAAAAAATGTTGTTAATTGCATTAAATAATTGTTCTTATCTTTTTTTTTGTTAATAAATTAGTCTAAATTTGATAATTATTTTGTTAGTTATGTATAGTATTTTTTATTTGTGATTAATGATTACATTAATGACACATTTATTAAATGTTACTTCTCATTGTTTGATTGTTAATATTATTATTATTATTATTATTATTATATGTAAACTCATTCCAAGAAATCAAAAAATAAAAACCTTTTTTTGAACCATCATGATGTTCATAATTAGTTTTCAGATACTTTGTAATATATTAGTGTTGTTCAATTAGGCTATCTTACTAGTAAAAATATTAGTCTACATATGTTCAATTTATAGATTATATTTTTCTATTTTATTAATAGATTTTATTTTGATTTATTAATTATGTTTGATACTAATCTTAGTAATTAAGTCATTCTATTTCCTTGTGATAATAGATAGTGTTCACGTGGGGTCAGCTACCCTTATCCTAAACTCTAGGATGCCAAATCCAGCCAAATCTATAAATACCATAAAATTTTTTTTCTTCTGTTTCCTATACTTTTCTATTAGTTCTCTCACAAAAAATAGTTGCTCTATTGTTGCGACTTACCAGGGATAAATCCAAACTGGTTTTTAGTTATAAATGTCTCATTTCTTATTTTCTTATCTATTACATTTTTCAACATTTTTATTCTATGATTTATAAGCTAGAGGCATAACTCTATTTTTTTCCATTACTATAATTATAACTCTATAATACCATTCCTCCATTCTTTTGGTATTTTCCTTTTTAATAAGATATTATTGATAAGATCCTTCAACCACTTTATGCCAACACCGTCTAATATTTTCCATACTTCTACTAGCACTTCATCTGGTCTAGCTGCTTTATTGTTTGCCTTTAAATATAACGTTTCTTAGGATTCAAAATAATATGGAACCATGTAATATTAAAAATTTTAGGAAAATGTGTTTATATATATTTAATATTTATTTATATTAGTAGACAACTATAATTACTAGTAATACAAATATTTCAGTTTTAATTAATATTTTTATATCATTCTATCTAATTATTAATTAAAATATTTCAAATATTTTGTTTCCTGAAATTATAATCCACTATAATACACACTAGAATAAACCGTATCTGTCCGCGCTACACACCATTACAATTCGTATTAGAATACTTGTAATTTTCCTTAAGTTGTTGTTTAAATTTTATGCATGAAAAAGTAGGAATTTTTTAAAAAAAAAAATATTTTTATTTTTATACACCAATGTTTAAAAATATACTGTTAATGTAGTCTAAGAATATACATGTATGTATTTTATTACATAGAAAACAATAAATATAATATAATTTTATACAAAAGTTAACAATAATTGTTATTGTGGGGAGAAAAGTATTAATTTTAATAAATCAGTAAAACATTTTGTCCATACAAACAATAAGAAACAAATATGTTCTCCAAAACATTTATTATGGTATATAAAATGTTTTTTCTAGATCAAATGAGCCATTTCGAAAATACTTTATAAAAAAATAATTTAAATGATTCATTCTCTGGCCCAAATATTTAATATATTTTGCAAATTTAATAAATATTTCTATCATTTTTTTCATAATTTCAATGATTTCTGGTATATTTGTATTATCCAAAAGTGTATACCATAATTGGATATGTTCTTTTTTTGTACCCCCAATTGCCACCAGTTCATCAATGATTATATTTGTAGATGTTTTTTTTCCAAGCTGATCTATATCAATTTCTTTATTAAATGTCAATATTATACCTTCTTTATTATCATTCAATAATTCTAAGTCTTTAATTATGTTCATCTCCATCTTTTCTTTGATTAATTGTATATTATCTTTAATTGATAAGTCAAATAACTCTAGACTTTTAAATTTCAACAATTGATAATATATATTCCATAATATGTGATCTTCACTATGTAAAAACAATGTCGCTGTAGTTAATTGACAAGATAACATGAGAACAATAGACTTAATATATACATAGATATGATTTTGATTTTTTAGCAGTACTTTATGGAGTAATTTAAATTGCAACCAAATAATGTAATAGATATTTAATTTAATTACTTTTATTATAATATTTTGATACTCAATAAACTCGAATGGATTATTTATCCAATTTATGGTACGATATAGTTTATTTATTTCCATTTTTTTTGTGCGAAAATATTCTTTGTATTCACCCCAATTAAATTTATAGGTTTCAGATAAAAAGACTAAGTCGCTAAATTTATGAAAGTAATCAATAAAAATAAAGTTATCTAGATTAAAGAAATTAGAATTTATCATATTAAACTTTTTGAATTTATTATAGTATTCATTCATAAAAGCTATCATATCAGCTTTACCTATATTTTCATAAAAAATATTCGAATGAGATACTTTTATTTCAGGATTTGAATTGGGAAGATAATTATGCTGCCGGCATAAGTTAATATAACTTACTAAATCGCATTCATACTGATCAAAGTTGGTTATGTTAGTTTTAAAAAAAAAATAGGGCCAATTGTCTACTGCAATTATCCGAATAAAAATTCTCCAAAATAAATTGTGATTATAGATTTTGCCAGAATATAACACACTGAACATTCCCGTCATCATTAATTTTACAAAATGAAAAACACTAGGTCCTATAAATTTCTGTGGTTTGTTGTACAAGAGCACACTTTTCATTTCATTAAGTAAATAATATATAAATATGCCACTAACGCATTGAAATGCTTCAATTTTTTGTTTGAACTTAATTTCAGACAGTGATTTATTTTGAATGCATTTGATGTCTCCACTACATGTACTTGTCAAATAATTTATATCATCATCATTAAAGTTAATCGCACCCTTGTCGTCAAATGATTCTAAAGTTTCAAAATTATTTATAATTGACATAATGTATGACTTTTCAAAAACATAATCAATGTAGTTTGCCAGCACCTAAATATAATATATTCTATGTCAACCATTATAAATATAAAATAGATTATCCTTTGCAAGAATTTACAGGGTTTCCCACTGTGAATTACTAATTTTAACATTAATTTATATAGTCCACTTAGTAAATCACTGTGAAACCCCTGTATGTATACATAGGACAAATATATTTTTTTATACAATTATTTTATAACTCAAGTATTTTAAGAGCTATACAAATTTGAATTCTGTAGTGATTATATATCTACATTAATACAGTTTCATTTAACTCTGTACCATAATAAAATCGTTAACTCGCGTATCGTAATTTTGAATAAAGATTGTCGAATTTATAGTGTTTTGGATTTCAATGGAACAATTAAAACTAAATCAACTTTAAAGATTTTTTTTAATATACGATTAAAAATATACGTCTAGGCGACTTATCTTCTATGAGTAATCAACCTTTTAAAAATAATAATCATTTAACTTCTGGTGGATACCATAGTTTTTTAATAGCTTTAACTATTTGAATAATGCTTGGATCGAAATAAAATTTATCAGTGGTAATATTAGGGACAAGAATTCTATATATAATTTTTCATTAATTACTTTTAACATATATTTTTTTAAATTATATTTTCTACCACAGTTCTCAAGGAGCTATGAAACCATTAAAAATGTTTTCTTTTCAAATTTGTGTTACATTATTCAAAATAAATAAGTAAATAAAATCTATGGTTTATTTGTGGGCTATACATATTAAAAAAAAGAAATACATTCCGGCGACTTGACTTCTATGAGTAATAGGTTTTTTTATTAAATTGAAAATTAAAATTTTGAAATAGTCTCGTATTGTAAATTTATTATTCAGTTTCATAACTGATTTTTGAAATTTAAAAAAGTCGTATTTGACATACACGTTGAATATTTTTTCATAGACCATTATTAAGCCTATGATTTGGCTATAAATATCTAAACGTCTTTCGCTAATTAATGTTTATAAGAGGTATAAAAATTGAGAAGTACTTTTTTTCGTTTTTATTAAATACACATTGTAGAGTTTTACGGCAGAAATTAAAATTATTATCAGGTATCAATTAATATTAGTTTTAAAAATATTTGAATTATATGCTCTAATGCTACTCTGACTATGCAGGATCGTTTCTGTACTTTACTTTACTTATTGTAATAACATAAATTATTCTATGTAAATTATTAATAAAAATATATACCTGATTGTAATTACTACTCGAGTTCATTGACTTAACAATATAGTTAAAATACAATAATAATAGTATATAATTAAACAAATACTTCATTTTTTAATATAAAATTTATAATTCGATTTATTGATTATTTTGCGTACTATTAATTTAAACTTCAAAATTTTTTAATCTGATGGTGTGTCAACATTACTATTAGAGTATCTAATATTAAATACTTAATACATTATAAAATAAAACTGAACAATTTGGTAGATGTACATTAATATAATAAAATATTAATGACAAATAAAGCTTTTAAATTATTTTCACATTAACCTCTGAAATTTGAACAAAAAAAACAAATATAGTACCTAAAATGAATGTATTAAAACGTAAATTCGAACTTGCGCGTGTTTTTTTATTAAAATTTGCAACGTCATATATGACGTGTTTAAATATCAGTATAGATATTTTATAAAATCAAGAAAAAAACTTATCAATAAATTATTTATATTTATGACCTAGAAAAACTATAAGTACGGTTATATTAAAAAGTAAAGTACAGTCAAGTGGAGTTGAGGTATTATTAATTGAGCATTAATTGATATCTGACAATAATTAAAATCACTGTTGTAAAATATTTCAATGTATATTTGAAACTTATTATAAATATAATTTAGAGTACCTACTAAAAATGACATGAGTTTTAACTATAGCATCGACGATCTCTTAGAGGACAAATCAATGGATTGTTGTTTTTTATAATCATAAATAACATAAAATAAGCTTTTATTTAAAATAATTTAGAATGCTGTAACTATACCGTTATAATATAAAGTATTACAAAATTGGCTACTTTTAACGAAAATTATAAGATTTTTGGCATTTTTGTCGAAAAACTCTTATCAAAAAGAAAAAGAAAAAGAAAGAAGTTTTTGATATGATTTTTGAGAATCTAATAAACCTTGATGAATGATTGAATTTTCAAAAAATTGTTTAATTATTGCCGAAACTAAAAGAAATGTTCAATACAATGACACATATAGTCTCAATTAAATACATTTTGTGTTCTTTTCACACATAATCATCTTTATTTAATTCTTTTATTTTCAATTTTTTTATAATATTCTAAAAACCTTTCTTTTTAATTACTAATCAAATTAAAGCTTATATAATGCACTTTAGACAAAAAAATAAAAACTCTTCAAGATCTTGATTTTCAGGAAGTGTTGGGCATTAATGCAAAAAATTAATTTTAAAATCGATTTTTCTATAAATCAAGAAAATTGATAAATCTTATTACACATATGTTATTAATATTGTAATATAGAACAAGTAAAAACAAACGTTTTCTAGGGAAAAAATTGACCCACTTTTGATTTTTTTTTAGCTACGATGCTAAGCTAAGAATCTATTTTTAAACAGAATTATTGCCGTATTTTGAAAAATGTTTGTCATTTTTTTCTAAATGTCTCCGTTTATTATTACACATATATATGTTTTAGGTAAAATTGTTTTATATTTCTTAAATTTATTTAATTTTTGTGAATTCTAGTGATTGAAATTGTGAAAATACTAAATTATTTTAATACATGCTAATAAATGATTTTTTTTTGTAATATTTAATTGTTTGTGATTCTATTTTAATCTTTTATAATTTTCATCTACGAATTTGTTTTGTCAATTACCTAATTTATAGCTCTATTTTTTGAGCACGGTTTGCTTAATAGTCATTTATCATTTTTTATCCTAATAACATTTATCCACCCTTGTGAAATAAATAATTATTAGGGTGACCCTTAGCTACATGAGAGGTTTTTTTTTTTTAATATTACAAAGTGCCACCCCCTAGAATTATTCGAATACATGAAAAAATAAATTGTACAAAATTTGGTGACGATTGGTCAACTCTAAGACGTGCCCCAAGGGGGTTAAACATAACCCCCCAAAGGTGATTTTTTTGTTTTTTTGTCCATCTCAAAAAATTTAGCTTTTGCGAAAAAGTTTATTTGGACTTTATTGTAAGTATAAAATTTTTCTATAAAAAGTATATTTACAAAAATTTTAGAAAAGTTCTTATTTAGCCCTAAAAAAATAAAAACGTATATGTTCTATTCTTGCCGTTAAGATTGTTAATTTATAAATTGTTCATTGTAAAAACAAAAAAAAATCATTTAACCGTTGTTTTTAATTTAATTTTCTATACATTTTTTCTATTATTTACTATTCAAAACCTACAATTTTTTAAATTTTAATTAAAAAAAAACACATCAGAGTAATATTAATAACGTCTCAGCTTCACATTGAAGCTAAAATAATGTTAACTTATAAATTTATATACAATCATAAACTATATAAACTTGTAATAAAAATACATAATGAAAGAATGTTATTTAACTCTTCGATTGACAATTCAAATTGGCCCCGAAACAAAATAATTTTCAAACAATAAATGGCCTTAGCCATCCAACGAGTATGGTGGATTGGGCCAGGAATTTTAAAATAAATTCCATGCAAATGTTAGGGCGTGATATTTTATACTTACTATGCAGACATCACATTTATGAAATTATATTGATAAGTGTTTTTGAAATAAAATTTAATACGACATCTGAACCAGATGTTCCTATTTTCAATAAATTCTAATAGCCTTGGCAAAATATAAATAAAACAAATTACTTAAGTGGAATAAAAGATACTGTTATTTTAGAAAAATTAAAAACAAAAAAAGACGATATTTTGAAATTTAGTTTTGAACAATTACAAAAATACCAACCTCGAGATAACTATAAGGAACCTGTAGAATTGGTCATAATATTTTTTGGTGAAACACCTTTACATGGAATTTATTTTAAAATTCCTGGCCCAATCCATCATGCTCGTTGGATGGCCGAGGCCATTTATTGTTTGAAATTTTTTTTATTTCGGAGCCAATTTGAATTGTCAATCAAAGAATTAAATAATATTCGTTCATTATGTATTTTTATTACAAGTTTATAAATAAACAATGGTTTAGTGCACCAAATGCTGCATTAGCGCCAAATTTAGATTTACAATTTATTAAAAATATAATTGATTATGAACCAATAGATAAAGATATTTCTAAAGTAGTTTTAAAAAAATTTCCGGTCACTTATGGTACTTAGTATCCGAATCGGCAGCATTGGCATTTTTTTATGATGATTTATGTAAAGATACTAAAATTAAAATGGTAAACTCATTAAATAATCGGGAAGAAGATCCATGTACAAACAAACGTATATTAGTAGGAGTAAATGAAATTTATGATTTTAAAAATAAAAGTATAGATGATTTTATTTCAACTGAGTCAAAAAAGTTGTTTGAAAGATATGACATTGAAACTGATTTTTTAAAAATCGATCCTTTGTTGTGGAAAGACAACAGTCAATATATCAGAGGAAAAATAATAGTAAATAATTTAAAAGTTATAAATGATTTAGCAGAGAAGGGCGTGAAACTCATAAAAGAGTATAATAATATTTTAACAAAAGACGAAGCACAAAAACAATACCTATTACAGATTGTTACAGAATACCAGCGTTGTTTTCCTAATTACAATAAAAGCACATTATCTCAGGAATTTTAAAAAAGATAAACTATTTAAAATATGTACTAAATTTTTTTAGTACGCTTTTTTTTGTAAATAGTTTCTGATTGTATATAAATTTATAAGTTACATTATTTTAGCTTCAATGTGAAGCTATCGTCTCAGCTTAATAAATTGTAAAAAATTATTAAATATTTTTTATTTAAGTTTTGTTAGAAGTATATGGGCATTTAAAAAAATAGAATATATGTGGGGGTAAGAGTAAAAATGATATCAGATAGTTTTAATATTTGTGTCAGAAGATATTGGTACATTTGAATTAGAGTAATCTCACAATAATTAATGTAAATATAATGCTGTCGCTTTATAACATAGTTTTATTAATATCGTGAATATCAAAGAAAGTGTTAAAATTTTAATGTTATTGAATTATTGTGATAACCTCAGTGAACAAATATCAACTCTATACCCAATACATTCTATACAGTCTTTGTGTTTTACATATTTTAATATTGACATTACTGCTATAATTTTGTTATACTGATTTTGAAGTAATACTTTTCTCGTAAAAAACTTATTATGATCGGCATAGCCGGAAATCCTTCCAAAATCGGTGGTATGCCATAAGAACGGTACCTGTGTCCAAAGCGTAGCTAGCGGAGTCTATTATTTTTATCATCTTCTGGTAAAATTAAACTCTAAGGTTTTCATGTAATGTAACCTTTATGTTAAAAATCGTTTCTTACCACGGAAGATTAAATATTAACCTGCAGGTTTTTCTTCTTAATTTAAAGATCTTTTTATCAGTAGCAATTCGTCCAGTTAATGATTAACTTGGTGGTTTTAGCCAGCTTTTTATTTAGTTATTTTTCTGTTTTTATCGTTTTTTTAACAAAATGCTTATATTTATTCATATTTTTGATTAATTATTTATATAAATCATCAATTACAATGGATGCAGTTGTTTTGAGTATTTATGAAACTATTTCATCTTCTGATGAATCAGAAGCATCGAAAGTGTTGCTTTCACTCGACGACCACGATTTTTTAAAAACGCAATAACTATTTAAGTATCAAGGAAGACCAAGAAATTACTGTAATACAATAATTTGCAACAAATTCTTTTTTTTTTTTTTGAATTTCCAGTATTGTTATACTTTGGAGTAATATTATAGTACTATAACCATATATATATATTAACGATAAATATGATGATCAATTAAATCTTAACTATAACAATTTTATGATTAATTATTGATATTTATTTATATCGTTGCATGTTATTCATGTTTAAAATGTATTCAGTTAATCGCTTGAAACCTTTTTTTATAATTAAAATAATTATGTTTTGTAATATTATACCTAATTGTATTGATTGCAATTGTTTCGCTATATTTACTCAAAGTACTAAGTTAAAGTTCTTAAATCCTTAAAAGCTATCTGTTTATTGGTTTAAGTTTTATAATAGTAAGGTTAAAATAAAAAAAGGTTTTACATGAAAGTTTAGCTTCTTTTTTAAAAATTGTCACCTTCCCATTTTGCACAACTCTTATTGAACATCATAAAATGATTTTAAGAAGCCATGTTTCAATTTAAAGTCGAAACTTCTATTGGAATTTATAATTAATTAATATACTAATTGTCAACAAATAAGTTAATTATATATATATATATATATTAATAGTAG